GGAGAAATCCAGGTAGACAATGTTGACCGCTCGCCCCACATCAACCGAGCGGTTACTTCGTCGTAGAAGGTGATCGGGTCTGTCAAGCACGATTTACCCCTGGTGAATCCATGCTTGCTTTTCCCAATCATGTGCTTCATTTGACTTGTGATAGCCCCAAGGAGGATTTGTTATGTAACTTTCCCAGGGACTGAAGAAAGACTGGTGGGCCTATAATTTCCTGGATCCTCCTTTAAGCCCTTCTTGTAGATGGGGGTGACATTAGCCTTCTTCCAGACTTCTGGGACATCCCCCAGTCTACACAACTTCTCAAAGAGTATGGAGAGCGGCCTCACAACTGACATCAGCCAGCTCCTTTAACACCCTTGGGTGGATGTTGTTAGGGCCCATCAATTTGTGGGGGTCACGCTCCTGTAATAGTTCACATACCAACTCTTCCTTCACTGACAGTGGCTCTGTGTTTGCATCAACCTGGATTTTTGTTCCCAAGGCCAAGGGCCCAACAGTGCCGGTAAAAGACAGAGGTGAAGAAAGTATTGAGAACCTCTGCCTTTTCAGTGTTGTTGGCGACTAATTTAGCTCTCTTGTTTTAGAGTGGGGCAATGTTTTCCTTCTGTTTCTGCTTGTTGTTCACAGACCTGAAGAACTCTTTCTTGTAGTTTTTGACATCTCTGGGCAATTTCAATTCAAGTAGAGTAATAGAGAGTATTAGCTTTTTACACTAATAGTTTTTGAACAGTTTTAGTCCAAAGTAGACAGAGCTTGCACTCATACAGTTTGATTGGAAATGTAGGAAATAAATACTGCTGCACATTGCCCAGAATTTTCTGGCTACTTTACCAAATGTAGGTTTTAAATTCAGAATCATCTTTATATGCAACAAACAAACTTATGCTTAAAAATTTTCAAAGTCTTTTAAGTAGTTCAGTAAAACAGAGTTCCTGTAATCTGTTTCCTGTTATGCACAAGTCATGGAAATGCTGAATTCTGACTTCACATTTGCTGACAGGGTTACTTTCATTTCCATGAGAAAATCATTGCAGTTAGTTCTTGATGAAGGGAAATCGAAGGACTGTCTGCCCTCACTTTCCATGACTTAATTTATTTTTATGCAAAGTTGGTCAGTAATACCTTGTTGTAGGCTCTACTTAAGTGAACTGTTTACTTGTATTTGAAGTCTTGTTTCCTCTTATGGTTTGCTGTCAGGAGTTATCTATACTATATACACAAAAGAGTGCTCTTACGGCAGTGTAAAATGGGAAACCTCAACAAGAACACCAGCTTCTGAAGAGAGAGTCTTGTTAGCTCTAGGGAAGAGGGAGAAAACTGCTACTGAACTTCGAAGTAATTATATGGAGGGGTGACCACTTATATTTTTTTTTTTTTTATTCTCGTGTACAGTTTTACAGTTTTCTGTTGAGTAGTGACAGGGTCATCATCAACAGATGGTGTTTTACCTGTGAAATGACATTCAAAATGGTCCTTCAAACTGATCTGCAAGTCTGTTCCGTAGAACCTGATGTTATATGTGACAACAGAGGTTCCTCTTTCTCCAAGATACAACTTCTAGAAGAATCTGGATCTGACTTCACTGTCTGTCTGTCATAGCAGTGGATGGTAATTGCTTCTGAGATGGAGTGGAAGGTCTCATCAGTTCCCTCTGCTATGTGCTGCATTTATTTATTTTTAAGTAGGCCAGTACTGGGCTTTTAGTGATCCCAGCTATTACTGTTGCCACCAGGAAGGAACAGGTAAAAACACTTAATGAAGAAAAATTGGCTAGACACACAATTTCCATGTACAGAATTTTATACAATGTGTGGGGAGGGGCAGTGTTAAGGAAAAACAACCAAAACACAAATAAACAGTATTGATGGCATACGTGCATGTAAGAGGATACATACTTTGTAAATTGAACTACTTTTTCTCTTAGCCACAGCATACATCTCTGTCTTTATCCTAAATACAGAGCCTTAATTCTGATGCTCACTGTATTCATAGAATTATATGAGCTAATCTTCATGAAAATAACTACTGAATGAAGGGGTTGTGGATAGGCCATATAGCTTTTCCTAAGCAGAAAAACGTCTGCTCTCTGCACTGAGATACCATACTTAATTTGACATAGGTACACACATGTCTCCAAATGTGAGTAGAAGATAATGTAATTTATAGAATTGCCATCAGGTTAATCATCAGAACTCTTGATCATGTAAATTATTGAACAGTTTTGAAGTCTAGATGTTTTTGCTTATAGGTAGAGCCTGATATTGTTAAGATATGCTACACTTGGCATTATATTCACAAGTGAAAACGTGTCTTCTAGTTGTGCCAAGCTTAAAGCACATAGGCCCTCAAATCTGGGAGTCTACTTTGGACTTGCTGCTTTGTTTAAACCTTAACGTAGTTTTCACATGGCCCCTTAGTCTCTGATAACTATTGATAATGTATAAGAGATGTGCATTTCAGGAGACTTTTTTAATTGAGGAAAGTATCTGTTCTGTTTCTCTGTTGTGCTTTCTGCTATTCAGTGTGAAGTCAGGAACAAGAGTAGGACTGATTAGAAAAACTTCCATTTAAGTGGAAAAACTAGTTCCTTCGCAGTAACCTTCCATTACAGTTACGGAACAAGATGATGATGGGAATTGCTTGCTCTGGCTCATTCCATTCTCTAAAGGTTTGCAAAGTTATGTTTCTGGTAGATTATCAGCCATCAGGAAGGCTGCAGCCAGAGGCTGTGTCACAGCTATGCTACTCTTCCTGTATTTCTAAAGTGGCAGGTAATTTATGGAGCTTCGGTATAGAAAAGTCCCCATTGAAGCTCCCGTTATGAAAAGCTGCTTTTAAAAGTTCAGAAGCAGTCTGTGCTCAGCACATTTTGATCAATGTGTTGGTTTAGCTAGAAGAAACACCTTAAGGCAAAGGGAAAGAACATTTCATAAAGGAGAATTTTATTAGTTTTTCTGGAAGAAATGCCTAACATTTATTTGTTAAATGTTTATCTCCAAATTTGGGTACAGTAACAACTTTGGAGTCGTTAAATAAGAATTTTATTTTGTATTCTAATTGAAAATATTGGTCAGGTCTTAATTATAGAGTTATTCTGGTGTTTATGTAATGCGGTGAAATTCAGGGTTTATACTGAGTAAATACAGAAAGTTTATAAGCTACCTATTAGTGCACCAGTAGTCAAAATTATTGTGGGCTTCAAACTACAAGGAAAAATGGTTAGATAGGAATGAAAGGGGGGAATGAAAGGGGAGTGAAGCTGTTTAGATTGGTACTTGAAAGAGTAAGACAACATTTTAAAAAAAAAACAAATTACATTTCCTACTAATTGGTGTTCTTATCCTTCTTTTATTTTTCAGACTTATAAAGCCTTGCTCTGTAGATAGTCCTTTTAGTTTGCTCTATTTTCATGTATTCAGTTTAGTTCTGCTTGTACTTCTTAACAGACCTTTCTGTAATTGCACTTATGCTAAACTGATCTGCATTTTGATTAACTTTTTTCAGGTTACAACTTAGTGCAACTTTAGGAACTGTGATTTTTTTAGGTGTTTTTTCTTTTTGTTTGTTTGGGTTTGTTTTCACCTATGCTTGGGAGAAGTAAAGCAAATAATCCTGGGTAGTAATCTGAATCAAATTGCCTTCAGTCGTCTGTTAGTTGTAAATTTATGTGTCTATGCATGGTGTTCCTTAAGGCAACTTGCAATATTATTGATAAGACTGGTGTATTATCTAGTACAGTTAACACTTCACGGAAATGGGCCTACTACCATGGCTGCGGTGAAGTTCTTCCATCCACCTGTGGCTGCTTCCACTTCGTTAAGCTGGCAGATCCCTGCCTGCCTTGCCCTTCTTCTCCCACCTCTTCTGCTGAGCAATGCAGTTGTTGATGTCCTCATAGTGATCTGGATCACTGATCTTTATTTTTATTTGCAGCTTTATTTTTCAGCTGTATAATTTCCCCAATCAGGTGTGCCTTATGGCTGCACAAACACATTTTTTCTGGAACAAAAAGGATGGAAATGTTTGGAGGGGTGTATTACCAAATCCTTAGGCTCTTGTTTCTAGGGATGTAGAGGTGCCGTTGTGAAAAGTCCAGGATTCTGCTTCCCATTCTTCTTTCTCTTCCACTCTGAACATGCATGCAGTTTTCCTGAGGGCGTGCTTCTGTGTCTTTTGTAGCAGCAGCACTATGGATCTGAAGCTTGTGGAAGGGAGGAGGGGAATGGATAGTTTGACAGGAAAACTTTTATAGTAGCAGTGCTATTATGCCGTGCCTTGCCTCGCCTTCCTTTCATTTCTATTGTTGCTTTCTCCTGTCTGGGGGAAATTCACCATAGTGGCAGAGGTGATAAGCTGGCTGAGTTTATTAATCAGTGTTTAGGGCAGTGTCTCAGTTTTAATGGTGAGGCACACCTTACTAGCTGAAAAATGTTTTAAGTTTTAAAACTAAACTTAAGAATAGGCAAAGGGAAGTTACCTGTGAGAAGGAAGGGATTAGGGGGTTTGTTTTGGGGTTTTTTTTTTTTACCAATTTTACAAAAAACAGAGGAAGATACATGAAGCGTGAAGAGTGGGGAGGCAGGATATCCAGTGATCCCAAAATGTGAATTTTAGTTCATGGAAAATAACAAAAGGTATGAGAGAAAGACGAGAGAGTACAATATTAAGTATGTGTTTAATAAAATGGGAAGTGAAAGAATACAAGACCTGTAGAAATCTAGAAAAGATACGGTTTTGAATATAGCCTAGAAATATGCAATAGAAGAGTTGTCATTCGAAGTGTGATAGTAGCTGCTGAGGTGATTTTATTTTATTTTACATACAGAGGATTGAAGGGAACTAACAGCAACTGGTAAAAAGCTGAAGCATTAGAAATCATTAATTTCGTGGAACTTCTTCAGTTATTACAATGCATAGGCTCTATACTTTGTTCTGTAATTGCTTTAGTGTGTTGTGTTTCATAGCTCTACTTTCTTTCTATAAATCTTTAGGGGGAAAGGAACAATGGCTTTGATGTCCTCTATCATAACATGAAACACGGACATTTGTCAACAAAAGACTTAGCAGACTTTATAAGAGAAAGGTAAGTTCATCCTTGGTAATCCTGGCTCTTTAATATACTGTTCATGGATTTCATTTAAGTTCATTATTATGTTTAACAGTAACATGAAAAATATGTAAAAGTCAACAAGCATTGTAAAATATCTCTTATATCCTACAAGAATATCTTGGTTTATTCCATTCACTTAGAACTGAACAGCAACTCTTAAGTATCAATTAATAACAAACTTCTAATTTTTCAGGTTTGAATTAAATAACAAGAGTAAAAAGTTAGAAGTGTCACATTAAATGTCCAGCAGTTTATTTAAATTAATCTGAATTTTTCGTTGTGTTTGGAAGAAAAGCATTAATTTAAAGCAGCAGAAATTATCAGTGTTACAAGGTTTTTTACCATAGATTTACTATTAGAGTATTAGCAACTGCTGGCACGATATTCAAAAAATCATGCTTTCAGATTAAGATGTTGAGAAACTAGGTTTGTTAAAGAAAAGGGAGTGATACGTAGGGACAATAAAATAATATGCAGAAAATAACACAGGTTCTTCTCTGTGGGATGAAAGGGATAGAACTGAAATCTGCAGATGTGACAGCTTCCAAAACAGATGACCTAGTGCTGTCTTTAGTTCTTCTTTGTGAAAGAAGACTGCTGCTGCTACGTTGAACATAAGAATTTCCATTCTGGACAAAATTAATTCTATATCTGATTCAGAATTTTGTCTTAATTCAGTTACTGACACCACATGACACATGGAAAAACTTGCAAGAGACTGAGGACCTGTTTCAGTGAAGGTTTCTTGCAGTAAAAGCTGTCCAAAGAAACAGCCTTTGTTTTCTGGAATTTTTCATCAAAATTTCAGTTTTGGCCTCAAACAGATCTCAGCAAAGATTTTGTTTTGTTTTGTTTTTTAAATTTCCACAAAACATAACCACCACAAATCTGCAGATACTCAGTTGCACTGACATTTGCATAGTTTCAAAGTGAGTTGGAGAAAATGACAAAAAAGTCTTTCCAGTAAGTAGAAACGGGTGAGTTCCAGAGTCCATGTGTGATGGGCAGTCTCCTGTTGGAAGGACTACACAAACCAAGGAATCTTGTGTTTCAAGAATACCTGATTCCAGAGGACACATTATGAAGCCAGACTGGGTTTCAGAGAAATCACGGTTTGAGACCTATCACACTGTTCATGTTTACTATGAAATGCTTAGGGCTTCACAAGCTTGCACTTTTAATATTGACAGTTACAAATGTTTGCCTTGTGTTATCTTTATGAGTAACTAGATCTTTCTTTTGAAACCTGCTTTAATTCTTGGAATCACTCAGTTTTTGTAGCAGTAAGTCATAGACCTAAGCTATACAACACCTGGACGCATTTAATTTTTTTTAGTTTTACATCCATTGCATTTTGATTTACCTCCATATTTAGATCAGAAGCTCTCTCACTCACTTTGCTTCTTATCGCCTTTATGTTGTATTCTTTGGGCATGCTCTGTTTTATTAATGTTGGTCCTAGGGTGAAAGGTCTTATGCAAGTGGATAAAAATAACTTGATTCTATATCTGGCTTGGATTCTTTGCTTTATTATGGTGACATAAATAAAACTTGACAGTTCATTCTACACAAAATTCCTAGTAAAAAGAATGTGGTATTCTAGTTTTTTTCACTCTACCAGCTCCTTCAAATTAAATTTTAAATTAGATGTGCCTTTGTAATCAATAAATAAAATATTTGGACCTTTCTCCACATATTAAAAATGCTTCAGCTGAAGTTTCTGCTACTTAATTCTAATGATTTGTCAAGAAGATGACAATTATTTTCAGTTATTTTTTCCCAGTTAAACAAGTTTAAATAACATTTAAGACTGAAGACTAATGACCATGTAGAATACATGAGGAACCACATGGGCACTTCATCCTCAATGAGAGATGAAGCAATGTATTTTCTGTTCTTGTGCATGGATCAGGATGTGTGAAAGAGATATGCAGCCATCTTACAGCATTTTTGGTAAAATATGTGAAAAAATTTCAGCTCTCATTAACACACTGAGATTCACTAGAATCTTAGCGCTACGTTTTAATTTATTTGACAAGGCTTCAATATAGTTTCTTAAGAGCAACTTGCCCTGGGATTGGAAAACATCTGTCAGTGATGCAGACCAGCAGCAGTAAGTTCAGTCCTTTCCAGTGACCTTCTCCTATCAGGATATTAAACCTGGTACCCTGTCTGTTCCATTGTGTTTTCTTCAGCTCTGCTTTACTGATGCATCTCAGTATGCCAGGCTGCCAGTAAAAAAAGCAGTTGAATGCCAAATGGGTACTTCTTTTCAAGTGAGAGGTGCATAACTGATCAATCTCAGTCTAAGCTAGCAGTAGTTTGTGGCATATAGTTTGTAGTTTCAAAGAAATAGATGGACCTTAAATATTTCATGTCCTCACTTTAGTAAAAATGTTTACGAGTGTCCATATCTAGGCAGTAAGGTCCTTTACTACCATTGTGAAGTTACTGTGGGATGTCAGTCAATTTCCCAGCAAATAAATATGATTCAGTAGCACACATTTATTCACATGGGTCAAATTCTTGATGTCAAAAGAAATTGGAATGCGTAGTACTTTAACAGTATTTTACAACAGTCCAATTGTCTTGACCATGTTCTGTTTTGCATCTTTGTTTATTGCAAAGAAAATAAGAAATGTTGCACATAATCATCTGTTCCCCTCCTTTCTCCAGAGTATAGTCTGAATATTGTTTTGCAGTACTGTTTTCTGCTAGACATATGTAAGTGAATGAACAACATTTATTAGGAGCCTCCTAGATCCAGTGTTTTTATGCCCTGACTTTTACGTACCTGATTTCCTGAACTGTTCCCTGTGAAAACTAAACTTACATACATTTGAACTTTCTTCAAATCTGTCTTTCCATTCCTTTTGAACATATTGGTCATTTATTTCAGAAGTGGAGACATGAGAGACTGAAAACTGCTCGATAGGTAGAGGAGGCAGAGCTGAGTTGGTGATAATACTTTTAACAAGTTAGAGGACTTAACCTCTGTATGTGCTGTTTGACAGTAGTCACCTGATCAGTCAAGATTGCTGGAGTCTCTAGACTAGTCAGAGAATTTGCTTTCTTATGGAGTGATCTAAAAGATAGAGGAAAGATGGTGAGTGTATCTGGATGTACAGACTGCTTAGGGCACAAAGGGCACTGCATGAAGCCAGGGTCTGTTACTTGCACTGTTCAGAATAATGTTTTGGTGGTGTGCAGCTTAATCGGAGAAGATTCTATTGTTCCCTTTTCTTCAGCCTTGGAAAAAGTAATGAAGAAAGAAAAATTGTATAGGATGTGGGATTTGTTTGTTTTTTTTTTAATTATAGTCAGCTTAAGGAGTTTTATTTTAAGATTTTTCTTTCAAATCTTCTCTGGGAACCTTCTGAAATTGCACAGTTGTTTCCTCTGAAAAAAACAAAACTGTTTGAAATGTGTTCATTTGTAATGGCATAATATTTCTATACTGTATCTGCCATCCCAACTGGATATCCATAGAAGGAGCAGAAGGTTTCCTCCTTGGCTGTGTTCAGTCAGTCAATACCAACTCAGTTTTCAACAGTGTTGTTTCACTTTTTTTTTTTTTTTTGTATTTGTTAATGGTCAAGCACTGAAAGAACTGAGAGACAGTTGTATCTGTGATTCAGAAATATGTCATCTGAAAGAGTGAATTTTGTGGCAGACAATCTGCTCAATGTTGGTAAATCTCGGGTGAGGTGGGTTATCTACCTATCTGCCGAAAGTTAGATATCTTTGTTCTGTTCTTGATAAAGCATGTAGAAATTTTGTTTTTAAAGAAGTGAAAATATAAGAAGGTTGGGCTGCACCCACAGGTTTTTTTCCTTAAATACTGCACAGACTTTGTAGGTGAACTGGTCTGTGTTTGTGTGTATTTACACCTAAACTGTTTACATGTAAGAAAACACTGTGCTCAGCTGGGAACTGAACAGGTATTGTGTTGGCTTTTCTCTAGAGGTCTTTCAAATGTTTTTCTGCACCACTTGCCTGTAAGTGTCATAAAAAGAATCTCCTTGATCAGAAGAAACTGGCAATATATATATTACCATTTAACTTTTAGATGTTTAACAGATCCCAAGCAAAGACAGATTTTCAAATGGGTGAAAATTAATTTACTGAGGTGTTCGTAGTGTGTTACTGGTACATCAGACTGCTCTAGGAAGTCAGTTGATAGGACAAAGGTAGATATATGTGCCCAACTGGTCAGTAACAGGACAAATGTAGATATATGCGCCCAACTGGTCAGTAACAGCATCTTTCAGTTGTTAGCATTTGTAACTGTTGTATGTTGATAATGTGTGCTAAATTGTGGAACTCCAGTTTTGTCAAGATTGCTCAGGTAAGTATGCTGTAAATTGTTCCAAAGAAGAGAGGTGGGGATTTTCATCAGAAATCTTGTGTTTAAAAAAAAAAGAAGGGGGGAGGGGGGGGAACCCCAAACGAGGCACTGAGCTAAGAAAACTTTGATAGAAGCTGTTGATAATTTATCAAAATATATTGTTCATCATAGTAATTAACAAAACATCAGTGTCTCTCCTGGGTGTCTGTGCATATATGCTTGTGGCTGTGCAGTGAGTAAGAATTCCAAACCTTGGAAACTTAAACCTTTTCATATCATTAAAAATACTTACATATGTGAAAGGAGGATAAAGTTATTTGACTTGTTGTATGGTGAATAACTGCAGTTGTTTGTAGGTGAGATTTAAAATGTAATTGAATTACTGCATTTTACAGTTTAATCCCCCTCTCCAAACTGATTGTCCAACTGACTGGATAGTTACTTTGAAAGTTTAGTAGGTTTAAATACATGCCCCTCTGTTTCAGGTGACTACTGCTACTTTGTTTCATATTTTCATGAGAAAATTCTTTTTGCTTGGAAAGCGTTGCTGTGAAGGAGAAATAAAAACCTCTGCCTCAACGATAAGTGGTTATAGTCATGGTATAACTTGTGAGAGCGGTGAATTCTTCATCTCCCTGTTTTTCTCTGGTTTGCCCCTGAATAAAGGTGTTACACAGCAGGAAAGAAGTTGCTTCAAGGTTTTGCATTTTCAAGAAAAGGCAGTTACAGTATTTACTCAAATCCAGGATGCTTCTAAATCTAAGTTGACACTACATGCTGAATATTGATTGAGGGTGGAAAATTAAAATAGTATGTATCTTTACCTTAGTAACAGGCAGGCAAGGAAGATTGGTGAGGGAAGGACTTGCAGGGATTCACTGCTGTGATACGCTGTGTGTGATGCTATTCCATGGCAGTTGCCCCAGCAGAGGCTCTAAGGATGAGATCTATGCAGACCCTTGGATTTTGAATCTCCAAAAGACAAGTATAATTACGGGTTTGGGTGCAGGAAAAGAATGATGAAACTTTATGTAGGGAAAAGGTTATCCCAAATAAATCAGAATGTATTGAGACAACCTTTTTTGAAAATTAGTATAAACTTTTCATTGCATATTATTTTACTGTTTTCCAAACTCAAATATCCCTATGCAATGAATTTAAAAAAACAACCAAAGAAAACCGCCACCAAAAGCCCCTACAAAAAGACTAGACAAGACCCCATTTTATTTAATATGATTGCTCAGTAAGCATTCAGTTTGTTTATTTTAATGTTTTCATTACAAATATATTTGAATTTGTTGCTCTGTAAATCTCTGGTGTTTAGATGGTACTAGGCGGGTGATTGTAATGTCACTTGTTCTGACTGTTACTAAACCATGTTAAAGATAGAGGGGAACAGCAGAGAGTATAGGAAGGAAGGAATGTCTTTTTCAAGTCTTGAGTCCCTAGCTTTTACTTGTTTCTGTTCCCTGCAACATTCTGTCACAGGGTTCTCAGATTTTTTTTTTTTTTTTTTTAATATACTTCTGTGATTTTGTTTCTATATTGTTTTTAGGGAGTCATTAAAATTGAGTTATTTTCAGCTAAAATAAAAGTGCTCTGTTTCGCACAGTTAGAATGCATATTCATCTGTCTTCAAATATCTTCAAAATTTCGATTATGCTTTTGATGGCTTTCTTTGACAGGGCTACAATAGAGGAGGCATATTCAAGGTCAATGACAAAACTAGCCAAATCAGCAAGCAATTACACGCAACTTGGGTAAGTAAGTGTACATAAGAGAGAAAAAATTAACTGAATACATGTTAAGAGTCAAGTTTGGTTCTGAATATTTTATTGATGATGTTGAAGGAGGCATAACTTTGTCACCTTTAAAAATGATTGTTAGTTCTTCAGCAACCATGCAAAATATCATGCAGCTATGAGAAAAACAGAAGACAGTACAGTTCTTTGTTCACAGTTTAAAAAAAACAAACCAAAACAAAAACAAAAAACAAAAACCCAAACATGGAGTAACTGTCTCTTTCTCTGTGTTTAAGGTTGAGTTCTTTTCAGGCATAATAAAGAATGTGACTTTCTATTCTGTGCTCCCAAGCCTATGGTAATTATTCTGAAGAGAGAACACATGGTCTGCAAATGTGGCAGTAAATTTATGTATTTCTATTATTTCTTCTTTCTGGAGTGTTATCTCTGTCCTCAGAGATGTTAAGAATGAGACTTTTCAATAGATTTATTCCATAGTTTAATTAAAATTGTATACACAGGGTATGTTTTTAAAAATTTGAATTATTAATGGCTGTTTTTTCATTGGAAAGATTATGCCAACAACTCAGACTTCTTAGATGAAGCTGGATTTTTTTATTTGTAGTAATCACAGCCAGAAATATGGGGAGCTTTCATCAGTGGATAATTTGACACCAGTTGTTGCTGCTCTTCCAAGATTCTGTATCTGCATGTTAGTTTGAACATCAGTGCTTTAAAGACTATGTAGAGTATTGATTTTTCAGCAGCATTAACCAGGAAACTGACGTAGGAGTGTATCTTCAGAACAGCTGGAGAAGTCCATTCAGTATAGAAATCTGAATCTGAGGAATGACCTCTCTCCCACCTTTCTTTGCCATACAGTTAATCTCTTTTAATCAATAAATCCCTTTTAGTGGCAGACCATCTTTGCCAATATTTTTTCCTGCATCCTTGTAGCTGTAATGATGTAAGACAAGTAGAAACTTAACTAACCAAGTAATTTCTGGTTTGTTGCACTATTCAAGTATACACATAAAAATAATTCTACGTGTTGAATTATTTAGAGCTGCTCTCGCATCATCTTTAGGAATATCACTTATCATTATTATCTGCTGATGCCAGAGAAGATTAAGTGAATTTTGCTGTGTTTTACTCATTAGAGTCAATACAGGTAAAACATAAACCAGGGAAAAATTAGTAGATGGGATTCCAAGTACATTTGAAACAGTTAATAAGAATTTATAGCAGTTGTTGGGTGGTTTTGTTTGTTTCAGTTTTAGGAACAGAACTGAACTTCTGTAAACTTATCAATTATAGTTTAGCACTATTAAAAAAAATCATAGCCAACTAAAAGAAAAAAATCCAGATGAATGTTACATATTATTTTTCTCAATCTAGGACATTTGCACCAGTTTGGGATGTTTTCAAAACCTCAACAGAAAAGCTAGCAAGCTGTCACTTGGATCTTGTGCGGAGATTACAAGAGCTAATAAAAGAAGTTCACAAGTATGGAGATGAACAAATCAAAGCTTATAAAAAGGTTATTGTTTTTTTTCTTACGCATGTCCAATGACTTCTTAACATTAAAATTAAAATGTTTTGGTTTTGACAACTATGTGATATTTGGCAGACTAAAGAAGACGTTTCAGGAACATTGGAAGCAGTGCAAAATATTCAAAGTATCACTCAGGCCTTACAGAAGTCAAAGGAAAACTACAATGCAAAGTGTGTTGAACAAGAACGTTTGAAAAAGGAAGGAGCAACACAAAGAGAAGTTGATAAGGTAGTTCTGTGACATCTTATTTTAATTCATTGTGTTGTCAATCAGTAGCACGTTCACCTTGTATTAGTAAGTGAAATGCCCAGAAAGGGCTCAAAGTAGTTACAAGTAGTAGTTGTGGCTATTTCATGATGTGCATGATATTTTGAATACCTAGTCATGTTTTGTTTACACTTCCTTATCTGCTCTAACTGCACTGCAGTACTAATTCTTTATTTTGTAAATACCTGCATCATACAATAATTTTGTTTAGTGCCTTTTACAGAAATTACTTATAATTGTTTCAGCATCTATTATGGTTTTGGATAAATTTCCTTAGGTAAATACGCAAACACTCAATGCTGTTGCTATTGAATTGAGGAGTAGGAGGTTTTGTGTTGTCCATTCAGTGAGACAAAGTAGCTAATTACATGGGTATTTGAAGTCTGTTCCATTGAGAAGAAAACCAAGTTAACATTACTTTCAGTGCCAATTTCAAAAGTTCCCACTTGATGGACCAAAAATCCAAGGGATGAGTATCTTGACATTGTATTTAATACTGTCCTTGGGCCTTGGGGGAGTTTGATCCATTCACAGATTCACAGAATAGTTGAGGTTGGAAGGGACCTCTGGAGGTCAGCTGGTCCAACCCCTCTGCTCAAGCAGGACCACCTAAAGCCAGCTGCCCAGGACCATGACCAGACAGCTTTTGAATATGTCCAAGGATGGAGACTCCGCAACCTCTCTGGGCAACCTGTTCCATTGCTCAGTCACCCGCACAGGAAAAAAGTGTTTCCTGATGTTCAGAGGGAACCTTCTGTGTTTCAGGTTGTGCCCATTGCCTCTTGTGCTGTCACTGGACACCACTGGAAAGGGCCTGGCTCTGTCTTCTATGTACCCTCCCTTCAGGTCTTTGTATCTGTTGATCCCCACTGAGCCTTCCCTTCTCCAGGCTGAACAGTCCCAGCTGTCTCAGCTTTTCCTTATGGGAGACATGGCTCCAGACCGTTCATCATCTTTGTGGCCCTTTACCAGACTCTCTCCAGTATGTCCATGTTTCTCTTGCAGTGGACAACCCAGAACTGGACACAGTACTCCAGGTGTGGCCTCACCAGTGCTGAGCAGAGGGGAAGGATCACCTCCCTTGATCTGCTGGCATCACTGTAACTTTTTCCTGTTTTCAGGAAACTAAGTAGTAGAGAAAAGAGGTCATGTTTCCCTGTCTCTAGCTATGTCTTCTCATTTTAAATCTTGATACCTCTGCCTGTTTCTATTTCAATTACCTGATCTGTATAAGACTCTATTGTTGTTAGAATGGTCTTAGTGCCTTTTGTACTGCTGTCTTGATGGAGCAGATAGAGTTGGTTATTGTCTTTTCACTGATGAGAAACATCCTGTTTACCATGTTCTGATTGTTTTATCTTTGATATAAATCTAGCTTTTTTTTCCTAGCTTCTGGCTGAAATGACAGTCAATGTTGGATTCTAGACATGAGTCAGAAATATGTGGGTTGACAGATGTTTTCCTGCCAGTCTATTCAAAGTATAATTTTTCTGAATTCTTGTAAATAGATTGAAACTTTTCAGTAGGAAAACTGACGTGATGGAAGGCTTGTTTCTAAGACCTAACATTGTCCTTGTTCAGTTGGAAACAAAGAAATGTTCAGTCTGACTGATGTCTACATGAGAAGGAAGAAAGAGGAAACACTGTAGGATGAAGGCCATTTTTTACTGTTTTATGCATCTTCCCTAGATACTTCTGTTTGAACAATTAGGCCACAGTTGAATGCTCAGTAAGTACTTAAAAAATTTTTCCAGTGGGAGCAGGTAACCGTGACCATCACATCTCTTCAGTCATGTCTTTATTCAAATTTACACTTTTAATTTCAGAAACATGGTGACAAAGATTGTATTAGTTTATTTTTCCTTTGGCATAGAATAGGACAACATGAAAAATGTTTTCTATCAAAATAGCAGAATAACTGCTTTATCAGAAAGCACCAATATGCTAAGAGCTTATCACAAAGCCAGATATTTGGAGAAATACTTTATTGAAGAATTTGAGGAGGTATCTGAGGCCTTGCAATTTTCATTGCAGCTGAAAGTTAGTGTTAGCTTGTGTAATAATTTCCTGTTGTTCTCTGACATGTAAACTTCTCTATTTATAGTGACTTGACAAAAAATTCTTGACTGACCCTTATTCTTTCACTTACTGTAAATCTGCAAAATAGAGTTCTATCAATTGCTGCACCTGAGAATAGACACATCCTGTTTTCAGAAGAGATTACTAGTTAATCATAAAATATTCATGTTTTGTCATTTTGTCTGTCCTGCTGAGTAGTTGTTTTTTGTAGATGCTCTTCAGCACATAACACTCAGACTCTGCTCATCCTTAAACATGATTACAAGAGACAGAGAATGTCGGGTTTGTCAAAATCACTTGCATATGGGGTTCAATTACATAATGCTTTACAAAAAGACTTATTTTTGAAGTCTTTTAACTTGGCATTTCCTTCCTTTTCAATGGTTAAGTTTGGAATCATCTTATTGCAAAGCAGTCTGTTATTTTTAAAACCAAGTGTTCATAGAGCACCTTGTACTTTCAGCATAGTAAATGGCATTTGGGAAACAAGATAGGACTGTTTTCTTCTTGGTAATTCACCTGTGTGAATGTGCAAGAGTGAGAATCATGAAGTAAAATTCAGGACAAGTAACTAATGGGCTTGTTGTAACCTGCTCATGCTCTCCTTTTAACACCTGATGGATCCATATTCTTCATACAGTGAAGTATTTTCAAGCTCTGTTATGTGACTACGATCTGCTTAAGCTTTCTTTGTAACTGGACAAATGGAACTGTAGCTTTGGTTCCTCTTCCTTTGAAGTCCTCATTGATGTTTCCCCAGGTGAACAAGTGCTAATGCTATACTGTTACTCATGACTTGGAGTTATTTTTCTCTTGGAAATTGCAGAATATAACTCTCTCTTTGCACAGCGAAATTTTAATTAATTTGTATTAATTCATTTGAATGTTATAGATAGTGGTCAGCTTTACAAGTCATTGCAAGTGAGAAATAGTTTCTGTTTTTACTGTAGGACAGGTGAAATTAATTTGAAAGAGGGGAGGAGAGCTATTCATAACTTGCACAAATAGTAAATACACAGCTGTCTACTGATGTCATTAACAATTCAGGAATACTTCTGAGTTACAACTGATGGGAAATTTCAATTACATAAAGTAGGCACGTTGAACAAATTTATTTTCATTGGCTTTTGTCTTGGAAGTAGCAAGAATATCAAAGGTTTGAAGAACTTCATCTCACATGTCATGCTGTAAACTTTGAAAATAACTTTTTCTCTACCACAAACAATCACTTCATTCAGTTTTGTTCTCTATGTAGTATTGGGATTCTCCTGTATTTTGTTTTGTCTTTTAAGAATATTAAACTGCCAGAAAGATTATTTTGGTTTATTAGCAACAAATAATGAAAAAATAAAAATTATAAAGCCCAAAAGGACTAATATAAACAAGACTGAGCTGCATAAATCCAGGCATCAGTGTGTTCTGCGTTAACTTCACTTTCAAATATCGCTTAATCTTAAAATTGTCATTGATGGTAATGCCTGTACTTCTGAATTTCTTCCTTCATTTCTAACAGAGAACTACACCTTCTTGATTTTTTTTTTTTTTATCATTGACTCTTTCAGAATTCCACAAATAACTGTTTGCTCGGTATTCCAACCGTGCTTTCTTCCTGTTTTTCTGTTGCAGATCTAGATATTTGACAAAAGCTAATTAGTTAACTTCAGCAATACAAATTTGATTTCAGCATAAGTATATTATAAATTAGTCATTGCTCATAAAGTGAAGGGATTTAAATGGGGTAATTGCTTTGTTACCTTTTTATGTGGTTTATGTATAGCTTTAAATAGAAATCTCTAATGGCTTGAATCTCAGTTATGTGGTGGTGACATTTTGTTATAACACTTCACTGTTTTGATATGCCCCTGAATATTCTTTATAGATCATCCTCAGCTTTCGGTTAATAGTGGCTTTAAAAAAGTTGGATCAGATTGTATGTGTGACATTTGACACTTTTTTGTACTGATCTACAGGCAGCAATTAAATCAAAAAAAGCTACAGATACCTATAAACTATATGTGGAGAAATATGCTGCATTTAAAACTGATTTTGAACAGAAAATGGCAGAAACTGCACAGGTAAGTTATATTAAATCAGTTACATTTGAAATAGATTAATATGTGCTGTTTCATCTCTGAAGACATCTGAAATTGAAGCTTTTGAAAAACTGGTTCAAGATAGAATGACCTCCTTTGGAATTGATATGAACAAGAATGTCAGAAGTAATATGTTTGAAGGGCAAACACTGACCATGTATGTTGTGATGGCACTGTCCTTGAATGACACAGTTGAACAGTAGTATTCTAGAAAGACTTTTTGAATAAATTTTTAGAAAGAAAACAAAATGAACTTCCGGAAGTATTGTAGATGCATTGTGACCATGTGGGAAATCCTGTGAATTGCTGGACACCCAGGACTCATTTGTAGGAGTTTTAATACTGGGATCTGTCATGTTTTTTTTTAGATTATCATTCCAGCAAAACACTTTAGTTACAGCTTGTTAAAGCGTCTTCCTGTGGTTTACCTGAGGTTGTGAAAAGCCTTTCAAGTTTCTGTTTTTTTTAAAAAACTTTAAATCTGTATTCCAGAGGATATCACATTCTCTGTAAGATTGCATATGCTGCTGCTTGTTACATTTTAAAGTTCCTTTTTCAAATCTGTTGATAGCAGACTTTTTTCCACTGCCCCAGATTTCAAAAAGTTAACTTCTTCATTTCTGCTTTTAGTAGTAATAGTTGAGGACTGGTTGGCATATTTATTTGTATATGTTTGTTGGTTTAGTAAAGCTTTTACAAGATAGGAATTTTCATTTTGATTAAAAGTTCTTTGCTCTTTTCATTAGTTTCAAAGATTAATTTTTAGGCATAGATGGAATTATTACGGAGATTCAGTCATACTTGTATTTGTAACATATAAGTGGGAAAGTGTTGGGGTTTCCTTAACTCCTTGGAAATTAGGATTTCACAGCATGCGGAGTGTGTAGGCTGACATATAAAAAGCTGCCCTGTCCTAATCTGTAAACTGCTTTCCTACTTTGAGAACTTCATTAGGATTTGATCTGGTTCATCTCTGAATAGATACTCACCACAGCTGTCAGAGAAAGGATACCACATATATCACATACCAGAACTCTTCCCTCCCACCCCCCAGTCCAGGCATTTGCAACAAAGTACTCAGGCACACCACTGCAAAATTCTGCTTTAACACAACTGTTACATTAGGAGTCCTGACAACCTTTCCTTGAAGAGTTTGCAGAAGGCATCTTTTTGTGCAGTATCCTGACTTGGTTCTGGTTGAAGGAGCTGTACTCCCTATGCTTTGCTTTTCAGTTTGAGTTAATTTAGGATATGTACATTATTTTTTTCTCCTTTTAAAAAGTCTGTGACTTCTAAATGTTTGGGGTTTGGTTTTTGGTTTGGTTTTGTTTGGTTGTTTTTTTTTTTTTTTAATTGTGGCGTGTAAAGCAGTGATGATTGCAGTTACTTAGTGGTATAAAAAGGCTTTACTAAAATTAAAAGTTCAAAAAGAAAATTCATCGGTACCATGGTCTAGGCCATAAGGCCTGTTGTACTTCTCTCTCATCTCTGGTGTGTGAAGTTGTGTTTTCAATCTATGTTTTAACTTAGCATTGCTGTCAAAATTAGCAGTTGTCCTATTTCCATGTTTCTTTCTTTGTCAAGTACTTGTGCGAGGAACTACCTTGTAGAACTAATCCAGCTAAAACTAATGTATGAAGGAAGGTTGGCTCTAACCCAGAAGAGACCTGAGGTCTGCTTTATTAAGAGATCACACAAGCATTTGTGCTGGCACAAAGACAGAGGCAATGTGGTACCAAGGGGAGAGAATTGTATCTTTTAGCTGGTTTAACATGTGACGCTGGCCTGGACTCACTTGTGCATGTGTCCACCTTACACATTTACATCTGTTGCCTTAGGATTGTGTGTCTCTCACTGTAACTTAAAATATTTGCATATCAGTTATTCCTAGGCAATTTGACTGGGATTAGGATTGGAATTGGCATGTGTGATTACAATCACTTGAGAATTTTGGGACTAGGCAACCTTTTTAAACTTAATTTACATATCTTAAAACAATTCTTGGAAACAGGTATAATATAGTAGCAATGAAAGAATCACTGAAGTGTAACATTCCTCCTGGAGAGTTTCCAGAAATAAGAGTAGATGGAATCAAACTGACGTGTGAACACATACTGCTGCTACCCAAAATGGTAACTTTTTTGTAGTGTTCCTGTTAATGTAACTGTTGTATTCGCTCAATAAGCATATTCCAGTAACTCCATCATTGTGTGGTTTGTATCAATTGTAGTGTAGCCTGACTTTTGCTGTAGACCCCACCTTTTGCTACAAAGAAATCAAGTAACACCAGAAGAAATACTGAACTGTTCCATTTATTTCTCTCAAGTCATACACAAGCGTGGCTCTTCGGGAGAAGTTCCTGTCCTGTTTGTTATTTGCGTTGCTCTGGAAGTTACCGAACCCCCACTGAAATAGATCCTGTGAATGCTTCTGATCCAAAGCAGAGCAAGTTCAGTCAGGTTGCTTTGAACCTTTATTTAGTCTCACAAAAGCCATCTGCTGTCTAATCCTTACCTTACAAGAAAGAGATTGTGTTTATAGCAGTTGACTTACTGCTCTCTGAAACAATAAGAAAAAAATTAACAAATATGACTTTAATAAGATGGCCTTGCTAAATTGCACTGTAAATTTGTCTCCAGTGAGCAAGCAAGCTGTGAGTAATGAAAAGGAGTTCTTGTTTAGAACTGACAGAAGATAAACATGAAGAGTATTTGAAATGTTTTTTTATTGACAGTGAATTAGTGAAGGAAAACGTAGGGGCTTTCAGCAAGCAAACTAGCTGGGCTTTTCATTATGTACTAAAAAGAAAAAATCCATTTGAACAATCCACTACAACAAAAAGAATGAGAAAAGTAACAGCTTATTTTGTATCTAGAATATGAAGGTGTTCTTTGTTCAGCTTTCTTATTTATCAGGTAGGTATTACATTATTAAATTATATATCAGTTATTTATCAGGTAGGTATCACAAGTCTATGGGGCCAGATGGGATCCACCCGAGAGTACTGAGGGAGCTGGCAGAGGAGCTTGCCA